AGAAAGTCGCCAGTTCTCACCATCCAGCTCCACAGATACTCCGCGTAGTAAAGTTGTACTACAAAGTCGCCAGTTCTCCTCGTCCAGCTCGCCAGATACTCCGTGTATTAAAGTTGTACTACGAAGTCGCCAGTTCTCAGCTTCTAGCTGCACAGATTGCTCCGCGTACTGAAGTTGTACTAGAAAGTCGCTAGTTCTCAGCTTCCAGCTCTACAGATTGCTCCGCGTACTAGAGTTGTACTAGAAAGTCGCCAGTTCTCAGCTTCCAGCTCTACAGATTGCTCCGCGTACTAAAGTTGTACTGGAAAGTCGCCAGTTCTCAGCTTCCAGCTCCACAGATACTCCGCGTACTAAAGTTGCACTACAAAGTCGCCAGTTCTCAGCTTCTAGCTGCACAGGTTGCTCCGCGTACTAAAGTTGTACTCAGCTTCCAGCTCCACAGATACTCCGCGTACTAAAGTTGTACTACAAAGTCGCCAGTTCTCATCGTCCAGCTCGCCAGATACTCCGCGTACTAAAGTTGTACTACAAAGTCGCCAGTTCTCAGCTTCCAGCTCACAGATTGCTCCGCGTACTAAAGTTGTACTACAAAGTCGCCAGTTCTCAGCTTCCAGCTCGCCAGATGCTGTGCCTGCCACGAAATCTGCCCATGGAGGTTCACAAAGTGCTGCACCTACCACGAAATCTGCACATGGAGGTGCACAAAGTGCTACACCTGCCACGAAATCTGCACATGGAGGTTCCCAAAGTGCTGCACCTGCCACGAAATCTGCACATGGAGGTTCCCAAAGTGCTGCACCTGCCACGACATCTGCACATGGAGGTTCCCAAAGTGCTGCACCTGCCACGAAATCTGCACATGGATGTTCACAAAGTGCTGCACCTGCCACGAAATCTGCACTTCAAGAAACAAGTGAAAACTCTAATCCCAATGGACGGACGATTCCGAGCATGATCCGAGCATGATCTGAGCATGATCCGAGCATGATCCGAGAATGACCCGAGACCGTCTCGCACCCGTCGTTCCGCAAACCTTGACTTGCCAGCTTCGGAGCCACCAGTTCCATTGAAAAATACAGCATTTCGCGCGTTCGCTATCTCTCCACAACGCAGTTTGTATTGCGCCTGCCACGAAATCTGCACATGGAGGTGCACAAAGTGCTGTGCCTGCCACGAAATCTGCACATGGAGGTTCACAAAGTGCTGCACCTACCACGAAATCTGCGCATGGAGGTGCACAAAGTGCTGCACCTGCCACGAAATCTGCACGTGGAGGTTCCCAAAGTGCTGCACCTGCCACGAAATCTGCACATGGAGGTTCCCAAAGTGCTGCACCTGCCACGACATCTGCACATGGAGGTTCACAAAGTGCTGCACCTGCCACGAAATTTGCACATGGAGGTTCACAAAGTGCTGCACCTGCCACGAAATCTGCACTTCAAGAAAGAAACAAGTGAAAACTCTAATCCCAATGGACGGACGATTCCGAGCATGATCCGAGAATGACCCGAGACCGTCTCGCACCCGTCGTTCCGCAAACCTTGACTTGCCAGCTTCGGAGCCACCGGTTCCATTGAAAAAATACAGCATTTCGTGCGTTCGCTATCTCTCCACAACGCAGTTTGTATTGCGCCTGCCACGAAATCTGCACATGGAGGTGCACAAAGTGCTGCACCTGCCACGAAATCTGCACATGGAGGTTCCCAAAGTGCTGCACCTGCCACGACATCTGCACATGGAGGTTCACAAAGTGCTGCACCTGCCACGAGCTTGAGCTGGTGTATGAGCGGTGTATGATGAGTGGTGTATGATGAGTGGTGTATGATGAGTGGTGTATGATGAGTGGTGTATGATGAGTGGTGTATGATGAGTGGTGTGTGATGAGTGGTGTATGATGAGTGGTGTATGATGAGTGGTGTATGATGAGCGGTGTATGATGAGTGGTGTATGATGAGTGGTGTGTGATGAGTCGTGTATGATGAGTGGTGTATGATGAGTAGTGTATGATGAGTGGTGTATGATGAGTGATGTATGATGAGTGGTGTATGATGAGTGGTGTATGATGAGTGGTGTAT